ATATCATCATTACCGTAACGAATATATAATGTATCAATTCGGTGTTGAATGGCAAGGGTTTTCTTTGTTTTTTGGTCGAGCTGTGAGACTTGTTTGAATATTCGAATTTGAATTTCTTCAGGTTCAGGTGGATGACAATGATCACTTTTAACGTTTAAAATAATATCTTCAAGATCAGTACGAGCAGTAATAGTACAACATGAATCTTCACATCGATAGTATTTCGTTGTGCTTGTTGTCTTATTCAATTTAAAGATGAAATTGTTTATATTCAACATTTTTTTTTCCTTTTTGAGACATGATAAATGATGTTTTATCATTAGGAGTAGTCATCATATCTGAAAAACCTAAGAATAAATTTGTATATCTTTAACTTTTTAACGATCATCACTCGAAATTCCATCAGTATAACCATTATTAATGGAGTACCAAAAAGAAATTAATTAATCAATGACGATTGATATTTATCTATTATATTCATATATTTACAAAAGCACCACTTAAAGAATAAGCACTGTTAATTACATGAACTAAGCAATTAACTAAGAAATTTTTAGCGACGCCTTATGACTATTAATTATTTTCCTTTCCTTTCGCTGTTTTCTAATTCGATATTTTTCCTCATTTTTTTTCTATATTTTTCCTTTCTTCCTTTTCCCATCATACCTATAGAAAGAATTTCACTGTTGATCATACACATGAAAATAAATGATTCAAAAATTAAAAAGCTAAAAGCATCAACATTGTTCAGAAATACACGAATTCGAACTTTAACATTAATGTTAATTTGTAATTTTAATAATCATTTTAGGTTCATTTGAAATGTGTTTTATACTATCAAGTAACACTAATTTCGTTTATTTTTTAATCATACAGACCAGAACAAATATTTCTATTTGTTACGGATTGTATTAGAAAAATTGATTGCACATTATTGAATAGTCATCAGAAAGGAATTTTAATTCGTTTAATTTTATTGTTTTAGAAATCTTCGTGCAATTGATCTTATTCGAAATGTTTATCGTGAAAATGGTATTTGGGGTTTTTATAAAGGTAATGAATTTTATACTGAACAAAATTGAACGATTTTTTTTTCTTTTTTGCATTTTTATTTAAATAAATTCAAGGCATTTCTGCATCTTATGTTGGTGTATCGGAAACTATAGTTCATTTTGTAATTTATGAACAAATAAAAGCACAATTACAATTAATTCAAATACGTCAAAATCGTTCATTGGATGATACAGGCTTATACAGTTTTGCATCTTATGTAATATCAGCAGCATGTTCAAAAACATTTGCAACAACATTATGTTATCCTCATGAAGTTGTTCGAACACGTTTAAGAGAAGAAGGTACAAAATATCGAACATTTATGCAAACATTAAAAACAGTTTATTATGAAGAAAGTCTAGCTGGATTGTATCGTGGTTTATTAACACATCTTATTCGACAAATTCCAGTAAGAAAAAATAACTTTGATAAATTTTACGATCATTCTTAAATTAAAAAGCTACTTAGATCATTTTGTAGAAGTTGTGATGCCAACATATTCGTACATCAAATTATGCAAAGTTTTTTCTAAAAAGCAAATCTATAGAGTCTTGATTACTAGTGAATTTTCTATATTTGATAACTGATCTGGACAAGAATATGAGACTTCGAAAAATATCATGATTCAAATAAACTTAAGTGACTGCTTAAAAATCCAAAATCGCAAAAAACGAAAGAAAGCCAAATATATACTTGTATGGATTAATTGCCGTATCTCACTTCCTTCAAGAGTCTGAAGGCCTAAAACTTTTGTGTCAATTATTAGGGAACTACGTACACAGCTTCTCCAGCTAATGGTCTTCCAATTTTGATCTTTTTCATGAAATCCTTGCAATAAAATCAGAAACTAATTTAGAATTCTAAGTGCATGAAGAAGTAGATTAAACATTTCTCTACAAAATGAGAGGTGCTTTGATTACTGAAGTTAAATCGTTATGAAAATACAGCTATTTTACGAATGGCTACAAAAATCGATTTTGGGGCTATTTGAAAAGTTTCATTACAAGTTTGAAGACGATGGAGGAAATATCTGAAAAGTATAGCAGTTTGTAGAGAACTTTTTGCTCTATAAGATGTGATAATTTTCAAAGTTCGCAACCATCTAAATTTATTTTTATCTGTTAAAGAAAACTATAAAAACCGGTAACGCACTCACCAAAAATGACGAAAAATGTGAGAGCGTTACCGGTTTTTATAGTTTTCTGTAACAGATAAAAATAAATTCAGATGGTTGCGAACTTTGAAAATTACCACATCTTGTAGAGCAAAAAGTTCTCTACAAACTGCTATACTTTTCAGATATTTCCTCCATCGTCTTCAAACTTGTAGTGAAACTTTTCAAATAGCCCCAAAATGGATTTTTGTAGCCATTCGTAAATAGCTGTATTTTCATAACGATTTAACTTCAGAAATCAAAGCACCTCTCATTTTGTAGAGAAATGTTTAATCTACTTCTTCATGGACTTAGAATTCTAAATTAGTTTCTGGTTTTATTGCAAGGATTTCATGAAAAAGATCAAAATTGGAAGACCGTTAGCTGAACAAGCTGTACAGCAAAAAATAGACCTTTGTCAATGTAGTAATACAATAGTTTCATCATAATGCTTTCAAATTCAGAAAAGTTATTGAATTGGATTATGTGCATTTTTTGGGAGAGTTGTACGTTGGTGCCATCATGTTATGAACCATAGCATCGCGTAAACTAAAGTCTCTATAGATTTGAATTTTAGAAAGAACTTTCCATAAGTCAATTTTGTGAATATGTAGACGTCACAATCTCTACACAAGTATCATAATTTTGTATGATCTCGATCAATCATATTAAAATGATATAACTGGTTGTTTTTTTTGGAAGTTAAAAATGTAGTTGTCAAATCCAGCAGGATCCTTTGTTTTAAATTCTATTTTTATATATTAGAATACAGCTATTATGATGAGTACATATGAACTTGTTATTGCGTTTCTCTCATCGACTTCAGTAATGCCAACATCATCATCATCGTCGTCGTCAGTTGAAATAACAACTTTACAAACAAAAAAAGTTTTAGTAAATCATGTTGATCTTGAAGCTAATGCAGTAAATGAATCCGAGTTATAAATTGTTAAATATCTCTTCTATTTTTGTGTAATTAAGTAAAAAGAAATTTAGATTAGTTGTTCATATAAGTTCTTTTCATAAATTTTGTTGTTATGATAACTTCGATATTTTTTTATTTTGCTCTCATACCGGTGTATTGAAAACATAATGGTATAAATTGCTTTAACGACCTGAATATCATATACATATTTGTGTGTTTCACTGAAAAACGGTTGCTCGTTTTTCTATTTAATTACTTGCTAAATATTGAAAGTTAGTTTTTTCTGTCCCAAAGTGACTTTTTCAGTTTTTTTTCTTTCTTTTTTCTTTTATATTACACATTTCCTTTCGGTATTTTAGTATATGAAATTTTTGTTTTTGTTTTTTGATAATTGTGCTCGTTTCCTTATATTTTGATATATATTCCACAAAATGAAAAAAAAAAAACTAAATCTATCAATCGAAAGATAACGAGAATTTGCATTGATATATGAATAAATAAAAAGAAATTAATTTGTACACAAATATTTTCATTCGGACGGTAATAACAATAAAAAAAAAAAGGTACTTGAAGTAGAACATTTTATTGAATAAAACTTTAAATGAGAAATAAAACGTAACGACTCTTTAACAAAAATCTGTGGTCCACTTTAAATAACGTGGAAAATCAACATTTGACTTAAAACTTTCCATGAACGAAATTCTTAATGAGATTAATTGATTATGTAGGTGTTAGCGTTTCTAGTATATCCTTTCTGGAGATGTGAATATTTACATTTACACATGAAAGAATTTCGAATGTTCAATATCTTTCAAAGGAAGATACTAAAAAAGCTACAACTTGCCCAATAAACTAATCTCATTGAGAATTTTTCTCATGCAAAGTTTGAAATTGAAACTCAATTTTTCACATGATCTGAGAGGACCATAGTTTTTTGTTGGAAAACACCAATAAAATTTCGATATGTCAAAAATAAAGGTTTAACGACAAGACAGAGAAATTAGTTCTGTATTTTATCTATACTACGTATTATCATCATTATTACTTGATATATATGTTGAGAATGACGTTGTTACGATCTTCTTTCACCCTAAGCTGTACATTCACACTCTAATTGCTATATTAGTATGTGGTTTGATGATTGAAAAGAAAAATATGTGTTTTTGGATGTCCTAATTGATGATCTTTACAGTATTCTATTAAGATTTTCTTTTCCGAAGGGATGATTTAAAACTAGAGTACTGCACGGGTACAACTTTTCGTACCCGTACCCTACCCGACACCTTATTTGTTACCCCGTACCCTATCCTATCCGTAACCAACTGTACCCGTACCCGTAGGTTCCAATTTCCTAGAATCTTCTCCTATTCCCGGCTCGCACCCCACATATCTGGAATAGAGTAAACCCTTCCCCAGAATAAAAGAGCATGGCCTTATATTGAGTC